GCCAATAGTCACCAACCCGGATATCGGCTTTTTGTCTTCTGACTTTGGTGGGAAAACCTCCGCCACGAGAAGGCAGTGAGTAGGACTTCCTCAGCAGAAGCTATTTGAGAAGCTTGGTCGTATGGGAGCATTTCGCGAGGTGCAAGGCAAGGATGACCAGCGACAATCCTAGACACCCACTCCGACCATACTGAGGATTTCGGAGGTCCTTTCATGAGAGCGGTACGGTGGATATGCATTACCAATAAGTTCCAACAAGAACCAAACTACACTCTGGCACTTTCTGAATGTATGACGGAATGGATAACTTGAGGATTGTGTGTGAAAAACAAAGCTTGAGTGATGATCCGTGGAAATCAATATCACTTATCCAGTGCTACTACTTAAAAGTGATTTCGAGGTTGAACAAAACGCTCCCCTAAAACCCCCGGCTTCACCAATGGCAGGTGTATCCTCGTTATTTCCATAAAAAATCGTTTCATGGGGTGCCAGGAGAAGTATTTGTTGAGGAAACTATCCTCATTGCCTTCATGTGAACACGATATTTACAAGGCTGAAACGCCAGTATCCGGAACTACCGCCGGGATGATGAGCCATGGATAAACAATTAATCATTGGGAAGATGGAAAACATAATAAATCAATGAAATGACTGCAGGATATCCTGGTCGCAACAGTTATAGGCACGATTTGAAGATTGCGGCTTATTGGGTACCCTGAACGTATTAAATATTTCTAGACAATAGTCAGGTTCGACAAAGATGCAATTTGAGGAACATAAGATGTGAGCGGCCTCCTCAAGCGATTGCTCTATCGCTCGGATAGTTAAATATTACATCAGCGTTTTACAGGACCCAACCATAGCTCAGATCTACAGATCTCCACATATTATGCGCAATGAGTACGGTAGTAAAATGTATGTTCCGTCACGAAGCACAAGCACACAAGCGTAATACATCATACCACTCCTGAAGAAGAGAAAAATCAGCAATCGAGAAAGGATGAAATTTAATTAATTTAGACCATGCTCATCTGGTCAAATTAAACCGTAGCTGAATGCTTACCCGAAGCAATAGAGAAGCAAGCCACGAGGAGGAAAGTGGCAGGCAACACGGGTGGTAGACGGGCAATACGGCGAGGCTTTAGACTGAGAATTCTCGTGGACCGCCCGGAAGAGCTTGTGGGGAGACAATAGAAATTATGTATCCAAGACAAAAGACCATCCCCACAACAAGTAGATGATGATAGTTGCCGGAGATCATAAGTATCCTGAAACTCCTCATTCTCATCTGTACGCCTCATAGCCGTCTCCTGAGTCGCCTCCTCCTCCTCATCCACGTCAGCTATTATGAAACTGAAACGATTCGGTGGTGTTCCCGGTAGTTCATAAACACCCGGACTTGAAACCTCTTCGGTAACAGGAGGCAGCGGGTTGAAAATGGACGCTGCCGCCAGATCACTGTTATTCGTGACGAAAGGGACCGATGATGTTGTGGATGCAAATCCAGAACTGGATTGGGGCCGTTGGAGAAAATCAGTGCTCCATGGTTCGCGTACCGAGACGTACATCGGTTGTTGCTCTTCGCTACGCAAGACTCGCATCAGGGGACCACGACCGAACACTTGTTGATAGTAAAGCGTGGGTCGAATACAGACACACCAAAGCACGGTGAAGACAACCAAGGCCAAAAGTCCCGGAACAAAAATGCTAACGACAAGCAACAGTACGGCTGGAAGTGATGTAGAATACAAGAAAGAGAAGTTTAATTGTGTGCTAAACAGACTTAGGTGTGTTTAAATAAAACAAAATAACACAGACTGGAGTTAACAGATAGTCAACTGTGTCTCCCTTCGTTGCGGTTGGGCCAAAACTGACTGACTACCACTGAAGACGATCTCTGAACAAAAATGAATCAGCAATTCGGTTGAGCCGTGATATGAGCTGTTTAGAGCAGTGGTAACAGACGTCTACTATGCGACGGATGCTGAGTTCGAGCCCGGACGGAACTGTGAATACGGACTACTCATGAGCTCTAAAAAGAGGGAAGCTCGAATTTAGTGCTTCTGAGTGTATGGTTGAACGGATGAATTGAAGATTGTGCATGAAGATGAATTCCGAAGGACGATCAGTACAAATCAACACAGTATGAGCAGAATTGACATTGGCTATTAATTTCGCGTGAACTCAACCACCTGCCTACTCACATTAAATAGGTTGGAGTGAAATAATAATACCGTATAAGGATATTTAGATAATTACGTTAATTCAGGCGGAAAAACTGGTTGTTGAGTCAGTACCAAAGTACTCTGGAGATGAGTGAACGATCAGGGGGAGATAACGATTACAAAGAGTCAGAAAAAGGAAATGATAGCATGAAAGCAGTTAATAAATGGGAAACGACTAACCGCGGAGAACAGTCGAAAATGGTTTCGTGATAGGAATTAATAGAGGACATAAAGAAAGGTAACGGAGTACAAAATCGGTCAGTCAAGTGGGTTAAAAGAGCTAAGGAATGTGGGAGGGAATGTAAACAATAAATGCCATGTCAAAAGCAACTATATAATCATGCGAAGGTGGGGTTATAAAATTTCGGCTGTGCTACATTTGTGTTCCAGTGGATAATTTATCAACCATCACGGCGAGACTGCACCGTGTCATTCTTTATCAGCTCAGTCTTCAAGTCAAAAATAGATACAAAAAGTGTAGACCATCTAAGGCAGCTTTCCTCTGAACAAAACAGCTTTACTTAACACAGAAACCTAGAAAATGTCTATCCCTGTTATTTGCTCATCAAAAGTACGATTACTATTTGAAAAAATGAGCGACTACACGAAATTGATAAGGATGAAAAAATACAATGCATTGAAGATAGGTAAGTTGGAAGAAACTTGGTTGCATCCTGGCATCAACGACTCTTTGGTTGAGCTGGATTTTTTGATATGCATCGGTTGGATAGAAACTGTTGGTGAGGGTGGTCTATAACTTATACCATATCGGCTTGGTGTAAACCTACAAAGATTATCGCCACCTACAACGTAGGACATATCTCATGTATTTCGGTTAAATGTAAACCCCCTTTTCTTGGTAAATATAGTTCTGCTGCAACATCAAGCATTTACATCCGATACGACTTCTGATGTACAGACGTTTGCTGATTTATTTATATCCCATCTTTCTAACTACTTGGAACCCTCTCTTTTTATCGTTGTCCATTTCTTAACTTCTCCCTCACTTTACAACCTTGTAAATTTCCCCAATAGATGAAACGCACAGATTGACCTGATGTTTGCGAACGATCCTGACCTGTTTGCTGTGCGAAGAGGATCATAAATGTTTTGCCAAAAGTCTACTCAAAGAAACGACATCGTAGACTGATCATCGTGCAGTTTCGCATGTCAATTCCAATCAGGTGCGGGCACAGCTGATGTGCCTCAAAATATCAAACGCTTCCGGTCCCGACGGACAATGTCGAGTCGTCCTTAGGGAATGTGCATATTATCTGGCCGGTATTTTCAAACGTTGCCTCGAGGAACAAAAAATTTCCAACTGGAGACCTGCGCACATAATACCAGTTCCAAAAAGGAAAGCTGGGGAATTTCGACCAATAGCCTTCACTACTGCTTTACTAAAAAAATTTTTAAAGTTTATGTTTAGTAACCTTATTCCTAACACTGGGAAGTTAAATCACAGTCAATTCGTTTATCGCAAACAACGTTCTGTCTTAGACGCCTTTGGGCATTTGGTAAACTTGTTTTTGCGACCCCTAAATATGCACGGCACAGCAATTCGTATGTTTCCTCGACTGTAGTAATGTTTTTTTACGGTATCAACAGGGGCAGGTTTATGTCTCTACTCCAGGGTGCTTAATTGTCCCATACTACCCTGTCTCTACTACAAGATTATTTTGCTAATAGAACACATTTCACGAGGTTTCTTGGGAAAATTTCTAACTCGCTATCGGTCAACTAGGGGATGCTCCAGGGAGCAATACTGTCCCCTTTTCTTTTCTCTTTTTATATTCGAGACCTACCCACTGATCCAGATAATAGTCTTAATAGATATGCTGAAGTTATCACTATAGGTTCCGAATTTCTAGATGATTTCTGCTTCTCACAGCTTCAAACCAGTTTATCTGCTTTAAGCTTGTGGTCTTCGTATTCCAAATTATCTCTCCATGCCTCTAAATGTAGAGATGTCACCTTCTGACTAGCCAAAGGAGACCGGCTACGTTCTTTTGGAAGGAAATATTCTGTGCTCTATGTTGAAAACCAGCCTGTTTCCCAATACGTTCCCTACAATACCTCGGTGTTACCACATGCCAAAATTCCATCTAGACTTCACATTTGAATTCCATTTTTAAAAATATTCGACAATTGTGTTTCTTTATATATCGCTTGCGGTATTTAAAAGTTCCACCGCATTTACTCACCCGATTTGTATGTTCTTGTTTTGTAACTCGTCTTCTTTACTGCTCCCCAGTTTTATTTGCTGGTCTTAGAGTTAAAGATTACATAATTCTACGCCAATTTATTAAAATTATTTTGGCGTTATTCCCTATTTACATTTGATTCATTTTATTACCGACAAACATTTTACCATTTGCGAAAACTTCTGCAACAACATTGTCAGACATCACTCACCCATTACACACAGAACTTAAACAATGAGTATGTACATCTGTAACTAGGTGTCATTATAAACGGTATCACTGCCCACTGTTTGTCCAACATACCATATCTTTCGACATTTTTGGCACAAACAGCATCCGGTAGAGAAAACTTTTTAAAATTCTTACTCAATTGGCATCCGCTTTCAAACTTTTACGCCAAATTCCTCTTGAATTTACGATGCTGTATTTTACATTTTCTCTGTGACTATAGGTGATGATGAATGATCATGGTGTGCAAGGAGTTGAAAATCCACCCACTGGATGAATAAAGCCAATTTTGACTTGATCTGACTACCACGAAGATCTTTTGCACGCACAGATGAGACTTCAAACGGCTAATGACAGCCGCTTCAGAAAATACAAGCATCCTTCGGTTTCGAAGTTTGAGGATAACACGGAAAGATGCAAGTTTGTCACTGCAGTGTCCGGTATCCAAAAATGTCTCTGCGCTGGCCGGACGTTTTCCTCCTCGAAATGCCAAGTTTTTCGAAACACGCTCACTCATTCTGGTTAACCGCTGACGATCAGTCCTCCCAAATTAACGCGAACGGCAACTTCATTGAGAAACAGTGGCATAGAACTCAAGATGAGAACACAAAACTGAAAACTAGCTTGTTTGTAACTTGCGTTCCCGACCCACATTGAAAAATATACCTGCAACTTAGGTGACTTAGGTCTGCTAGTAATATAATATAACTTCATTTAGACTCCGTTAGTTTATGATTTCAAATTGACTATAATTTCCTGATCGCTCATTCGAATCCATAAAAATATTTGAAAGAAGATTATTGAACAACTTTAGGCATGTCACATGATAAGAGAAAGCGAACTGCGTGCAGGAAATGTCAGAAAATTTGTGAAATCTGCGTAGGTCTAGTAGAATACACGAATGTGCAACACCGAGTTCACACCTAAGGCAGAAAGAATGGATGGATTTTTATTCGA